TGGGGATTGAACCCAGGGGCCCTTAACTACTGAGCCACACATCCTCAACCTTTTTTTTTTTTTTTTTGTATTTTATTTAGAGATAGTTGAGTTGCCTAAGGCCTTACTGAGTTGCTGAGACTGGCTTTGAACTCCATATTCTCCTGTCTCAGCCTCCTGAGCCACTGACATTACAGGCATGGACCACCACACCTGGCTGTTTAGAACTGTCATATCTTTTGTGAATTTAGCTTTTATTTTTAAAGATTGTTAGTAAATAACATATTTTGGTCTTAAAGCTCAGCTGTTGATATAGGGGAGGTAAAGTTCTGCCCCCCTGCTGGCCACTAATTATCTGGCCACCTTTCTTTTTTTTTTTTTCTGGTAACTTTTTTCGATCTCCAGTCTATACTGTCAGCTTGTTCGCTGCTGTGACTAAAAGGCCCAACCAGAACAACTGTAGAGGACGAAAAGTTTATTTGGGGGCTCACGGTTTCAGAGGTCTCAGTCCACAGGCAGCTGGCTCCATTCCTCAGAGCTCAAGGTGAGGCTAACATCATGGCAGAAGTGTGTGGTAGAGGGAAGCAGCTCACAGGATACTCAGAGAGCAGAGAAAGTCCCACTCACCAGATATGAAATATATACTGACCCAATCATTTCTCCTCTGAACCTTCCTGTATTGTCTCACACGTGATCTTTTGGGGGACAACTCACATCCAGACTATAACAATACCTTATGCTTAAGTGTGTCAGAAATGTCTTTTTTTCCCCCCTAGACACAGTGGTACATGCTTGTAAGCTCAGTGAGTAGGGAGACTGAGGCAGGAGGATCACCAGTTCCAGACCAGCCTGGTCAACTTAGTGACACCCTGCCTCAAAGTAAAAATTTAAAAAGATCTGGGGTGTGGCTCTGTGGCAGAGCAGTCACCTAGACTGTGTGAAAGGTCCTGGATTCAGTGCCTGGTACTACAAAAAATATATATATTTTTTTCTTTATCATGTTAAAATGTACAGCTTAGTGGCATTAAGTGTATTCATACTGTTGGGCAATCATCCAGTTCTCCTTGATAATCTTATTGCTTTTTCATCTTCAATTCATACATGACCTTGCTATATATAGGACTGCAATATCTGGAGTCCTACAGCATCCAGATCTGACGTGTGTCGTTTCTGCTTCTCATTCACGTGGCTCACATGTTTATGTGCTAGTGATCTCTGACGGGGAGCTCACCGCCCGATATTAACCAATGGGAATCTCATACATAATGCAGACACTTTGTTCCAGAGAATATTTACATCTGCTTCTGTCAGGAGCCAGGGGATGCCACCAACATGGGACTCTTCAATTTTCCTTGAAGGTCCTAATTTGATAGAGGTGCCTGAGATTCAGCCCTTAATCTCCCTCTTGGCCAAGCTCCCAGGTTTGGGAGTGAGGAAGCAGCTTTTGGAGATTTGTTGTTGTTGATGTTGGTAGGTGGAAACAATATTTTTTTAAAACTTATTTTTTAGGTGGTGCTGGGATTAAACCCAGTGCCTCCTCACATGTATTTGGCAAGTGCTCTATCACTAGCTGCAACCCCAGCCTGCTTTTGGAGATCTTGGTGGACAACAAGGCCTCAAAGAATCATGGCCTCTCTTTCTCTAGGATATTGTGTGTGTGCACGTGCGTGCGTGTGTGTGTACATGTGTGTGTGTGCTCACTCACCATGTTGCTCAGGCTGGCCTCTTAACTCCTAGGGTCACGTGATCCTCCTGCCTTGGCCCCTTGTGTAGCTGGGGCTACCAGCAGATCCACCATGTCTGGCTGAGGATATGCTTTTTCTGTAGCAAAAAGATTCCCTGCTTCTCCAAGTCCACCACATCCTAGGAGTAGAGATTCTCTAGCCCATTCCACACACCCCCATTAGAGCCATCTTTTGGAGATATAAATCTAATCACATCACACTCCTGTTTAAATCTTTCAATAACTCCCCTTTGTCCATAGTATAAAATCTGAACTCTCAGTATTCAAAGCCCCACATGATCTGGTCCCTGATTCTCATGCAGCTTCTTATCTTCCCACTCCCAAATCCTTCCCCTTGGGAATTTTTTCCAGGCCCCACATCCAGGTTGAGTTCCTGAATATATTCCCAGAACACCCTGCTCTCCCCGCATCCTGACCCATCACACACAGCTATAATGAGATGTCCCCCTACACCTGACACCCTCCCGGATCACATATTTCACAAATGCGGAAACTGTCTGTTTACTCACCTAGCGCCTAGCATCAGCACCTGGCGCTGGGGCCCATGGAACAATCGATGGAATGAATGAATGGTACGTCTCTGGGCTTCCGGTGTTTTTCTTTCTGATTTTTGCCAGTTCTCTTATGTGAAAGATGTTGACACCTGGCCTTTGGCTGAAAATATTTTCCCTTTGTTACTTGCCTTTTAATTTTGGTTATTTGCTTTCCACGGGATGAAGAACTTTTACATTCCACTGTCAACAGACCTATGGGTTCTTTTCTGTTGAGATCTCTTTAAACACTTCCAAGTTGAAGAAAGTCCCTTCCCAGATTTGGGACAAACAAATGTCCTTCGCTATTTTTTTTTTTTTTTCTTTGCACAAACTGACAGAAGGGCTTGGATCATTTTTCTCTCCTGCTAAAAAATGTTTAACAGTCTCCTTAGAGCTTTTAGAATAAAGTCCAAATTCTTTAGCTTGGTCTCCAAGGCCCCAAACCTGAACCCAAGGGCTTATTACCACTGAACCACATCCCCTGCCCTTTTTGTTTTTTATGTTGACACAGGGTCTCTCTCAGTTGCTGAGGCTGGCCTCCTGCCTCAGCCTCCTGAGTTACCGGGATCTGAGGTGTGCACCACTGAGCGGGGGACCCCTCCATTTCTAAATAGATAATGAAATCTTGTTTATTCTTTAAGCCCTACTTTCTCTAAAAAGCCTCACCTTATGATTCCTCCTGAGAGGGTGAATGGTGAAGGGATAAGAAGATAATCTTTCAAGTCAGACAAACCTGGATTAAAATCTAAGATCCTTCATTTTGTTAGCCAGTGGCCAAATCCTTTCCTCTTTCAAGTCCCCCCCCTCACCACCCCCGCCTTTTATTTTTTAGCCCTGGGTGTGGAACCTCATGCAAGTTCTCTCTCCCTCCACACTCCTCCTCCTCCCCGGGCCCCAATCTTTAAAAGGGGCACCAAAAGCAGTAAAGGACCACTGCAGGGTGAGCTGGGTGTGATCTCCTAGGTACAGGTCCTAGGACCCTCCCTGCCACGCCCCACGTTCTGCCATTTGGACGGGAGTCTCCAGCTCTGGGTCACCCCTTCCCTAAGTAGTCCTGTTTTCCCCGGAGGCTTGGTCCTGGAATTCCATCCGATGATCCGATGGCTGAGCGTCCTCCCGCAGGCCAGGCCGGAGTGAGCCAACAGGTTCCACTCTGGGGAGCCAGACCAGGCCCCAGGCGCCTTGATGGGACTCCTGGACTATTGGGTCTGAAACATCCCCCTCCTTCCTTTCTCCATTGGAGCTGCCGTGGCTTCTTCACTGAGAGATGAAGTCTCTAAAGAGGTCTCCAGCACCCCTGCCCTTTCCCACCAGCACCCCACAGTATGATGGCGCGTTCAGTGAAACTAAGTGGATCCTCCCGATTTTAGCTTGGGTAAACCGAGGCTCAAGCTGGCTTGTGTGTTGCTGGGTCTAGAACATGTGACCTTGTCAGTCAGGGTTTACTCGAGGGCCCGGGAGGCCTGGGCACTGGGCTGGGGGACTGGGGGGGCTTGGCCCTATTCTAGGAGATGGGACAGGAATCCCGCTCTCAGGGGCTCTGCCCTGGAGGGGGATCCGAGGCTGCAGATACCTCTGTGTAAGAGCAAGGACAAGGACTCCCTGCTGTGGCGTGGGTCTCCGCAGCTGAGGGTGAGGTGGGGACTTCCTGGACAGGTGCCTGGCCCCGAGGACTCCAACTGTTCTATCTGCAAAATGGGGAAAGGGTCTGTGTCCCAGGATCTTGGTGTTCTCAAAGTGCTTTCCTGGGCCCAGCCCTTCGCTCAGCCCAGACTGTCCCCAGGGCCTGACCTCACCACGTGGGCCTGACCAAATCTCTGACAAATCTCTGACACCATCGCAGCCTCCACCCTGGGCCCTGCCCTTCCCCAAGGAGCCTGGGCCTGACTCCAGCTCACACCCCGCCCAGGGGGGTAGCAGTGGTCTCGGGCAGGCCTGGAGGCCTCCGCAGGCACCTCTGACCCCCTCCCTCCACACCGCATCTTCTCCTCCCTCCCTCCCTCCCTCCCTCTTGAAATCTGAGCCGGGATCCTGGGAGAATTCTGGCTACAAAACATTCCACCCAGTTGTCCAAACACTCCCCACAGCTGGAGCAGGGAGGGTGGCCAGGGGCAGCCCTCGGCAGCTGTTTCCATGGGAACGGGCAGTCCTCACTCAGAGGGCCACCCTGGCTGCCCTGAGGGGTCAGAGGACTGAGAGGACAAAGGAGGAGTCCCCCTCCTCCCCAATCGCCACCAACACCCAGTCCCTAGGGCCTGCCCAAGGCCACCCTGCCACGTGCCGGGCCCAGCCAGGTGTCACACTTGGCTCCCGCGTCCAGCCTGGAGGTGGCCGGGCAGCCTCCTGAGCCTCCCCTCGTGGCCAGGCCAGCTCCTGGCAGGAGAGGCCAGGCGGGAACGCAGCCCCTGGAGGCGACGGCTTTTACTGGAAGTCCAGCCCGGCCCAGCGCCTCCGTCTCCTGGTTTGCAGGACAGGGCCGGCGTCTTTTTGGTCCTGATTTTTCCAAGTCGCAGCTGGGGGTGAGGTCTTGCAAGCCGGCTGCGTCTCCAGGTCCAGAAAGAGGCCTCTCTCTGCCCCGCGCCCCGTCCCCACCGCAGCTTCCCCCTGAGGGGCTGCGGGGCTCCACTGTCCCAGTCACCCTGCCCCGCGGGCTGAGCCCGTCCCCTCCTCCTGTCGGGGTGATGGGAGATGCTCCCCTTTCCCACTTCCTGTTTCCCATTAATAGTTTCCAGGTGAGGCCAAGGTTGCCGGGCAGAGGAAGGTGGGGGCACCAGAGGGTTTAGTGGGGGGACGAGCCAGAAGCCAAAACAGGAAGGGGGTGGGAGCAGGCCATGGAAACTTCACCGCAGGAAAGGGAGGCCGGCATCTGGTCTGCATTAGGCCGAGAGCCTGGAAGCCCAAAGCCGGGGAGATATTGTGATCCGCTGGGTGGGGCAGCCGGGGACTGGCTCCTCGCAGAGGCCCACATGAGAGAAGAGGGAGCCGGAAGGAGAAGGGGAAAGGAAACCCTGCTTCCACTCATCGCCGTGGCTGACACTTGTCCAAGGTTACTTTCTTTCTTTGATTCACAAGTTCGCAGGGGGAAAGTGCTCCTTCCCATTTTACAGATGATGGTTGAACTGAGTCCCAGAGAGGTTAAGTGACTTGCCCAAGGTCACCCAGCCAGAGAAGGGCAGAACGGGGATTAGAATTCAGACAGACTTACAGACATTCCACCCCGGGGTCGAGGCTGACCGGGCGCCAGGCCAAGGGGTACTGTGAGGAGAGCAGGCAGGTCTCTGCCATTAAGGCCATCAGGATCTTGCGAGAGGATCTGAGAGTTCCCAAGGACGTTCATGACGCAAAGCTGAGGGCCCCAGCGCTGAGCTGCAGAGGGGACAGCTTCCTGGAGGACGGGGGATGAGCAAAGAGACAGGGTGGGATGGAAATGGCAGACAGAGGGGAGAGTGTGGGGGAGGCAGGCGGCTTAGAGGGTCTGGGCCACGGCTGCTGGCCTGGTGCACCTCAGAGGGTGACAGTGTGGCTGGGGAAACTGAGGCACAGAGGGGCTAGAAGTGCGGTGAGCTCCCAACTGCTCACAGAACTGTCCCGCGGTCATGGTGGCTAAAGTGTTAAGGGCTACTGAGGCTGGGCTGGTGGGCCAGGGCCTGTCCAAGGCCACACAGCCAGCTGTCCACGGGACCAGCCGGACAGGCTCTCTCCACTGTGCCGACCTGGGAGGAGAGGGGTGAGGGGACGGCAGCCCCCTTTGTGCCTAGGGAAAGCCCAGGGCCTCAGGCTCCGAGGGGAAGCTTCCCACCCCCCTGGCCCAGAGCCCAGGAAGGAGGGCCCCTGGCTCTTCTGCTGCTCTGAGCCGGGGAGTTAATAATTATGGGTCGAGGAGATAGAGGCCCATCTGGGAGGCTACGCCCTCTGGGGCTGCTGCTCCTAGAGATAGCAAAGGTTAGTGTGGGGATCGCCTGGGGCGGGGAGCAGCCACCAGCCACCTGACCTCCCGCAGTATCCACGGAGACCCTCCGCCTGGCCCCTCCGGAATGGATGCCTCCAAGGAGCCCACTGGGTGCCCGGCCAGAGGGACATGCCCAGTGTTCCTGGCCATGAGCTCGGGGACTGTACGCTTCGCCCCATCAGGCCCGGGTCCTGCCCTTTTGAAGTGCTTGGGAGAGGAGCCTTGGGACACAGGCAGGTGAGCTAGAGACCTGGGACACGGGGGACGGGGTCCTGCCACCGCATGAACACAGGGGCAGGTGGAAGCTGGGCTCCCGACAGGGTGCTGGCATGGACCTATGAGCAAGTTTCAGGAGCCTCTTACGAGGTCACCTCCAGCCGGTAGCTCTGATTGCCTTGTTCCACTTGACGGTTGTTCAGAAGTGGAAATGGAAGCTCAGAGAGGGCAAGGCACTCATTCTGGGCCACACAGTGAGCCAAGGACACACCTAAGTCCAGAATCGGGGACTGGGTCACCCAGGCTTCTCATCTGCCCTCAGCTAAGACTCTGTGGTTAAGGCCACCAAGCCTGGGATGGGAATGGCAGGGGCCATACAGGAAGGAAGTTGAAGAGGGCAGTGGCTTGTGGGCAGAGGAAACACCTTTATTTCTCCCTCTCTACCTGCTGGGCCCCCCTTCTGACTGTTGGCAGCTGCAGTGTCCTGTGACCCCTCTGGTTTGGGGGCTGATTTTTTTGGAAAACTGGTGTAAGCAGACTGGCCCTCACCACCCCTGGCTGTGTGACATTAGACAGGTACCTTAACTTCTCTGAGCCCATCCCTTTTTAGTGGAAGAACAGGGTTCACTGTGCTCTGGGAAGAGGCAGTGAAGCCTGGGAATCCACAGTCACCTGGATGCACAGAGGACAGGATATTTTTGGTTAGTAATTGGATGTCAGTGTTCCCAGAATGGTGACCACACACTTGTCCTTTGAGGCCTCTCTCAAGGGCCTCCCTAGTCAAGCAGCCCTGGTAGGCTGCAGACTCTTCTCTGGGGCTGTAACCTCTTTACGCCTTAGATTCCCCTAGTCAGGGCTACCATCAGTTATCTCCTGCCCCGGCTCGCGGACTCAGAGGGCAAGGCTCTATTTTGGGCTCCTTCTGTGTCTCCTCCTTCTATCCCTAAAACAAAATTTCAAGATCATCCTGGGTAATTACTTATCGAGACCCTGTCTTAAAATAAAAAGGGCTGAAAATGTAGCTCACTGGGGCAGACAACTTGCCGGCATCTGCAAGGTCTGAGTTCCATCCCCGGGACTGCACAGAAGAAGAAAAAAGGAAGAAAAAGGTGAACAGATAGGAGCAGGAAGACAGCAGTTGCTCAAGGCTTAGCTGGTGAAGGAAGCAAGTCAACAGACATGTTGACATCTGTGCTGGACTCGGGTGGGTAGAGGAACACAGGTCCAACAAGCTGGTCCCTGTCCTCTGGAAGCCATAATCCTGCAAACAATTACCCTGTGTAGGAGCCTGGGCTGAATGGTTCTGGAAAGTTAGAAGGGATGCCATGGAGGGCTGTCCAGGTTGTTCACTGGATAAGATGTTGGCCAAGGGAGTGGGCAAGGCAGGAAATCCAGCCTGGCCTCCACTCACAAGTCCTGTACCTTGGTGGGAAAGGAGCACCCTTTTCTATTTTGACCAGAAACATCAGAAACAAGTCATGCTGTAGGCAATCTGGGCGTAATGGTATGCACCTGTCTCAGCCACTGGGGAGGCTGAGGGGGGAGGATCCCATATTAGAGTCCCAGGAAGGCAGGGTCTATATATCTGTACAATTTCCTTCTAGGTCCGCCTGTCATGGTTGTAAGGCCCATAGATTGAGCTCAGAAGGGGTGGCTGAATGAATGAGTGAATGAAATGTGTCCCCCAAATGAAGACCTGTCACCCTCAGACATGGGCTAGGCTGTAGCTTAGTAGTCAAGAACTCAGCCTGGGCCCCAGGGTCTGTGGCCTGAAGAGGAGCGCGGATAGTTCTGGTGGCGTCTGGAAGGGGAAGGTCCTTGTCTCCAACCCTCAGTCCTTCTCCAGAGCCAGATGGTAGAAGCCCAGTCACCGGCAGGAGAGAAGGGAGCTTGGCCTCGCTGGCTCCAGGTCCAGACTGAAGTTCTGGCCAATGGTCAGGGAGCGGGGGCTGAGGGGCGGGCAGGTAGAGTAGTGGTCAGAGACTCAGGGAAAGGTTTTCAGAGGCTGCGGGACTCCACAGGCACGTGTGGGCCATGTTGTTCTGCAGAGGGTAGATGGTGGAAAGGGGGCAGAGGCAGGGATGGGCAGGGTGTCCCGTGGCTGGAGAATGGCAGGCCCCTGTTTGGGGAGGCTGGGTGGGGGGCTTGTGCCAAAGACAGATACCCCCTGGGGATAAGGATCCCCAAAGTAGGGCTGAGGCAGAGTGTCACTGCGGGGCAGATGCCGAGCCGGGAGCTCCGGGAAGAAGCACGTGGTTGGAAGACGGAGGAGGGGGTAGGAGGGTGTCTGCGGGCCTGAGTGACAATCCCGGGAGCATCTGAGACTCGCCGCCTTTGTGAGGCTCCTGCGCGGTGCCGGGCGGAGGGGGCTGCGGAGAGAACCAGCGGCGGAGGCCGGGCGCCTGATCAAGGGGCCGTTCTTCACAGACTCCAAGGCTGGGCGGCCCGGGAGCGAGGGCGAGCTCAGCGCGTCCGGCGGGCGGAGGGGCGTGGCCAGGCACGTGTCCTGGGGCCGCCCCTCGGCCACGTGACCCGCCTCGGGCAGGGGCGGGGCGCGGCGGGCGCCGGAGCCTCGGTCCCAGGCGGCGCAGAGCGACCGACTGGCTGCGGGCGGGACTGACAGGCAGCGGGACACCCTGCCGGCCCGGGGCGGAGTTGGCGGCGGGCGGGGACGCAGCGCGGAGCGGCGCGGGGAGCCGACGCCGGGCACCTCGGACCGGGATGTGGAGCTGGTGGGTCCGCGCGCGGGGGGCCGGCGCCGGGTCTCGGCCGCCGCTGCCTCCTGGGGCGGGAGAGTGGGGGTCCCGCCTGCGCCCCACCCGGGACGGTCTGCGCCCCCAGCCCGGCCTGGGGCTGAGGTCGGGCGAGCCGGCGTGGAGCCGGGAAGATGGAAGAGTCCTCGGAGCGTTTGGGGGTATCGGGGTGGGGAGTGTGGAGGGCGACCGAGCCAGCCCCTCCTAGCTCACCCGGAGGGCAAGTGGCGGTGGGGGGACGGGGTGCCGATATGTGCCTGCCAAAGTAACCCTGGGGCGCGCACCTAAAGGAGGGACACCCCTCCATTCGCTGGATGAGCTCTTGGAAAGCAGCTGGGTTGGGAGAGAGGAGCTGGGTCTCTCCAAGGTCGCAGGCAAGTTGATGGCCAAACCTCTTGCCGGTACTCTGTAGAGTGGCTGGACCTCCCTGCAGCTCGAAAGGGGCCAGCATCGGCTCTGGGTCCTGGGTCAATGGCCCCAGGACCCCTCTGTGTCCAGACCATTGTTTCTCAGGTGGTTCCTATTCCCGGCCGGTCTGATGGAGGGACCCCTGCTCTGGGGGTGCAGAAAGGTTGAGGTTTTTTTTCATGGAGTTGGGGAGCACTTTCTCTCCCCCATGACTGGAAAGACTTAGGTCCCGGGGGTGTATTCTTGTAAAGCACTTGGCCAGATGAGTTGTCCCAGGACCCAGCTCCCTCCCTGCCACACCAGGCCAGTGGGTAACACTCCCCCAATCCACCCCCCACCCCCTCAAATGGGCAAGCTGGATCCATTTTCCCCCCTGGCACCCGCAGAACCTGAGCTGAGGTGCTCAGAGAGTAATGGGGTTTCATCCCCAAGGAGCTCGGAGACAGGGGTCCCTGGTAGGAGTGAGGTGTGGGGAGGCTTGAGCCTCCTGAGGGGCCGAGAGTTGAAGGCGAGCCTCTTTGCTGGAATTATGCCCTGGGGGAAGGAGGCTGGGCTTAGGGAGAAAGTGATTAAGGGGCTTTGTGGTGCCTGGAGAGGTTAGGACAGTCCTACCTGGGGATAGATGGGTTTTACCCTAGGGATAAATGTGTCTGGGGAGCAGCCTTGTCTGGAGGAATCTTGTGACCCTTTGTGTTGGGTGGACTGAGGCAAAACTGAATTGCTGTGTGACCCTAGGGGTATGGGCTCCCTTCTCTGGGCCTCTAGGTGAAATAAGTAGGTTGTAGGGTAGCAGTGATTCCATCCTCAAGAATGTCCTCTTTTGGAGGCACCCAGGCTAGGGTCAGACAAGGCCCAGTAAATGGATGTTCTCTGTAGGGATAGAGGAAGAGTTTCAAGGTCTTAGAGAAGGCCTTGTCTGCCATA